CATTGGGCCCAATGAGTATCCAGGCTATCTTCTTATGTATGGGGGGAAAGAGGAGGAGTCAGGCAGACTGGAGGGTTTCGGGGGAACGGGTTTTTTTTCTTTATGGGCCTGAGCGGTACCGGAGGAATGGGTCTGGGCGGTATCGGACAATCCGGGCTGGCCTGAACTGGAGACCCCTGGGAGTTGTTGAACTGGGGAGGTTGGTGACCGTCTATTGATCGGACGCAAGGCTGCCAAATCAATTAATGTGTCTTCCTCATCAGCTGCCACGGTCATCCTACAAAAACGATCAGGAATCACACAGCCCCAGCGAAGACGGTTGCCTGGAACCTCGAAATTGTCAAAGTTAGAATCAGGACTCACAATTTGTCAAACCACTCTGTTTATTAGCACAGCGCTCTGCCAATGCACCCAGATAATGTGAGCACCATGCAAGACTCAAACTATCTTATTTATACAGATAAAAGGGCGTGAACTTAACAAGATAACAAAGGAAGCAGAATTGTTAAGTTTACCTGGGGCTAGACACACATATCTTATTTCCTTACTAACTCTTACTGATCTCCTGTTAATGTCCCACCATTAGCTTAAGTGGACTCATTGGTCTATACCTTAATGTTTCTCTTCCTGATACCTGTATTTCAACATTCCTCATTCCTGCTAAAAGGAACATACAGCATTTCTTCAATCCATTCTATTTTTACAATATAATTCTTTCTACTTTCACAGCTCCCACAGATAACTCCCTGAAGGCGACGCCTTTGCTGGCTAAGACAATCCTTGAGGATAAGCAGGGGGGTAAGTGACAGCCCAGAGCCCACTGCATGGACAGGTGTGCTGTGGGGAGCAGGGCAGGGAGTTAGTAGGGGGCGCTGTGCTGTGGAGAGCAGGGCGGGAGGTCAGCAGGGTTGCGGGGAGCAGGGGGTCAGCAGAGGGCACTGTGCTGCAGGGAGTGGGCTGGGACCCAGAAGGGGCGCTCTGTTTGTATGTGTCCCTGCTGGTTGGGACCAGCCCGGTGCTGTGGGGTGTGTGTGTGTGGTGGATACAGACTAGCTGCCATGTGGGTCATTGTCGCTCACACACGCACACGGAGGCTTTTATCCTTCATCAGCAATCGTCATCCCGACGCCCGAAGTGGGGCAGGACTCTGGAGTCATGACCCCATCTGACCCCAACTTGGATTTGACAGGTGAATATCAGTGCCTGGCAGCCATCCCTGTGTGGCGTTATGTGCAGCTGTTCCCCAGCTGCTCCGACCCAGAGGTGGCTGCATCTTAATGCCAGAAAAGCCATCCCTGTGTGGCGTTATGTGCAGCTGTTCCCCGACTGTCCCACCCCAGAGGTGGCTGATCCGTTGTTTCTAATCTCAGTTCTTTCTTTGCATGACATGGCCAGATGGAGACCAAGATGCAGAGGTGGAAAACACATCTAGCACAGGTAGTAGGCATCATGTGGAAGATGGGATAACCAAGGGTGGGAGCTCCCCACTCCAGGCCAAGCCAGATCCCCTCCACGTAGCCCCAGTCATAGAATCATAGAAGATCAGGGTTGGAAGAGGCCTCAGGAGGTCACCTAGTCCAACCCCCTGCTAAAAGTAGGACCAACACCAAGTAAATCATCCCAGTCAGGGCTTTGTCCACCCCCCCCCAATCATACAGCAGGTAACTGCTCTGCCCCACAATGTGCCCCCCAGTCCCTCCAGTGGCAACACCCCAGTTAGGTGTGACTTGGCTGGGAAAAGCTCCCTACATAAGAGCTCAGCCTGAAAAGAGTGTCAGAGATGTTAAAAATGGAAGAAGGACCAGCTGGGAGAGCAGGGAGCTGTGGGTCAGGAGTGAGGGCCACGGCCGAGCTGTTGAGGGAAACCCCAGGTCTGGGATAGCCAGGGCTGCAGGACGAGAGTGAGGGCCACGGCCGAGCTGTTGAGGGGAACCCCAGGGCTGGGATAGCCAGGGCTGCAGGACGAGAGTGAGGGCCACGGCCGAGCTGTTGAGGGGAACCCTAGGGCTGGGATAGCCAGGGCTGCAGGTCAGGAGTGAAGGGCACCGGCAGAGCTGGCGGGGGTGGGGGGCGCGGGCAGAAGGGTCCAAGATCTGAGTCCCACCCTCCTTTGATCTCCCTGCAGCCACCACAGGGTCTGGAGGCTCCAGTTCCAGCAGCACGAGCACAACTGTTTCAGGTAGGAGAAACAACCAGCCCCCCGCCCCCACGTCCCACCCCAGAGGCAGCCGCATCTCAGTGTTAGGCAAGGGCTCTCTGGATGAGCAGCCCCCCACATCCCATCCCTGTTACCAGATTTGCCCGTTACTTTGGGGTATGCTCGTTTATTAGGGTTACTGTTCTGGGGGGGAGGGTTCAGTAATTCTATCACACACACACGCACACACAGCAAGTCTGAGCGGACCAGGTTGTCAAGGTTCCTTCCCCACTCTGAACAGGAGTGAGGAGCACGGCCGAGCTGTTGAGGGGAACTCCAGGGCTGGGATAACCAGGGCTGCGGGTCAGGAGTGAGGGGCACTGGCAGAGCTGGCGGGGGTGGGGAGGGGGGCAGGCAGAAAGGTCCAAGATCTGAGTCCCACCCTCCTTTGATCTCCCTGCAGCCACCACAGGGTCTGGAGGCTCCAGTTCCGGCAGCACGAGCACAACCGCTTCAGGTAGGAGAAACAACCAGCCCCCTCCCGCCCTCGTCCCACCCCAGAGGCAGCCACATCTCGGTGTTAGGCAAGGGCTCCCTGGATAACCAGCCCCCCACATCCCACCCCTGTTACCAGATTTGCCTGTTACTTTGGGATACGCTCATTTATTAGGATTACTCTTCTGGGGGGGAGGGTTCAGTAATTTTATCAATGCACTGCTTGTATCACTTGTGTGTTCTCATACGGAGCTCTACTTCCCCCTTCTGCAAGTCCCCTCCCAGTGGAGCTCTCCTGCAGGACCTCGGTTCCCCAGGGCTGGGTTCTTCCAGCCCCAGAATCACACTCTCACACTCACACACTAACAGAGCAAGTCTGAGCGGACTGGGTCAATCAGCACTTTCAAGCGGATCTCCTATATGTCCCTGGACTCAGCAGGCTAGGTCGAGCAGCACCTCCAAGCTGCCAGGTTCAGCACGTCCCTATCCCCACTTTCACATTACAATTGTTCCAGTCGCGACCCACTTGATGAGCAAACCCCACAGGATTTTTGGGCGCTGCAGGGATCTGTAGCTTAGGTCAAAGGGGCATTGCTGCAGAGCGAATGGGGAAGCCAAAAACACGAGAGAGAGGGAGGGAAGCAACCAGCTTAACCATAAAAGTTATTTATTGCCAGGTAGTAACAATACAAGGGGAGCCAAACAAAGAAAACAGTGACATTATTGAATCTAGCTTAAATTTGATTACAAAAGTCAGGTTTAGAAAACTATAAGTGATCACACGAGTCAGGGTCACAAGGCTACACCTAGAGAGAGAGCTGGGTTCTCGCCACTCCGTGAAGCTTGAACCCCTCGGGGGTCCCAGGTGGTGATGGTAGGGGAGGGTCCGGAGTGCTGGAGACAGGCAAAGCCCCCAGCACGATCATTCAGGAGAAGATGAAGTCCCAATGAACTGATGCAGATGTTTGATCCAGGCATCAGAACACTGACTGGAGTGTGGGTAGGAGTTTTTGTAGGGAAAGAGCAATGGTTCAAGGAAAAACACAGATTTGTTTGTAGGTAAACTGATGGCTCAAGGGAGAATACCAAAGTTGTTTCGTTCAGGCTAGACAATAGGAACTGTTCATTCCTGGCTATGGGAGGTGTTTTTTCGAGGGAGCTCACAATGCAATTAGGCAGCTGCAGTATTTTGGATACCAATAAAGGATTTATTACTAGAATTGGTCTGATAACTGCTGAGCTGGGTGTGGGCAGGCGTGGGTTCACTGACATCTGGAGCAGAGATCCCCCATCACGCAGTGCTTCCCTGCTTTTCTGGTCCCAGAGATCAGCTTTGGTTCAAGCAGAGGCGGGGGGGGGGGGGGGGAGAGGTGTCCTTCGTGAATCAAACAGACTGGATACTGCACCCTGGTTCCCTAAGAACATAGAGCTGACAGGTAACAGCGCAGAGGCGGCCGCATCTCAGTACCAAGCGAGGGGTCACTGGATAACCAGCTCCCCCACATCCCACCCCAGAGGCAGCCGCATCTCAGTGCCAAGCAAGGAGTCCCTGGATAACCAGCCCCCCCACACATCCCACCCCAGAGGCGGCCGCATCTCGGGGCCGGGCGAGGGCTCCCTGGATAACCAGCCCCTCACATCCCACCCCAGAGGCGGCCGGGTGAGGGCTCCCTGGATAACCAGCTGCCCTGTGGCCCATCCCAGAGGCAGATGCGGGGAGAGCAGGTCTTAGCTGGGGTCTCTGGATCCTTTTCACCCCAAAGCTTGTTCTTTCTAGGCTCCAAGAGGCCTGTTACCCACAGAGAGCCCGGGAGCTCGGCCAGATCAGGTGAGTGCCCTGGGGCCGGATCGGAGCCGGAGCCCCCAGAGGGGAAAGGTCCCTGCCCCATTCCTCCCCCCCCACCCCCGAGCTGGGCATTTGGGGTAATTCTCTCTCTGCCCCCGCAGGAGCCGGCCAAAGCCAAGAGGAAATCTTCACTTACGGTGGGTAGCAGCTGTTCCTGCCTCGAGCAGCAGGGGGTGCTGCTCCTCACCTCACTCGACTCACAGTCGCCCCCTTCCCTCCTCCCTTCCAGATTACCACTCCCTGCGCAAGTGGGGCCTGATAGCCGCCGCCATTCTCTTCGTCCTGGGCATCCTCATCCTCACCTGTGAGTAGGGGTTGGAACCAGGACTCCTGGGTTCTCTCCCCGGCTCTGGGAGGGGAGTGGGGTCTTATGGGTAGAGCGGGGCTGGGAGCCAGGACGCCTGGGTTCACACTTGTTCTCTCTCCATCCCCAGGTGGTAAATACGGGAAGCTCCCCGGATGTGGGGGCCGGAAGCGGAGGAGGTGAGAGCCACCCCTGTCCCCTCTTGGGCCCCGCAGGGTCCCCCCAGTCCAACCCAGCCTCCCTCACCCTCTCTCCCTTTTCCTTGCAGCGCCTATGACATCTCACGGCTCTGAGGCACCCCCTGCTGGGGGATCCGTTTGGGGATCGGACACTGCTTGGAGGGGCCGGCTCGGAGCCCCACAGCGATGCTGCATACCTGGGGGCTGGGCAGAACCAGCAGCACAGACCCGAGGGCTGCCAAGTGTCCCCCGCTCCCCCCTCTGTGATCTGCCTGTCAGCAGCACCCCAGCTCTGATCACCCCGGCCTGGCCTCTCTAGCCCCCGGCTGACTCCCCAGCCTGTCCCCCAGGCCTGGATCCTCCATCCCTCTCCTTTCCCCCTCCCAGCCTTGTCCCCCCATCCCTGTCCCCTCCCCCTTCCTGGCCTGGATTCCCCATCCTTGTCCCCCCCTTCAGGCCTTATCCCCCCTAAATCCGAGTCCCCAGCCTGCACCTGGCCTGTCTTCCCCATCCCTGTCCACCCTCCCAGTCTCTGAGCGCCGGTCGCCCCTGTGTTGTATTTTGATGACATTAAACGACTCCCCCTGGGGAAGCAAAGTATCTGTGAGCCTCTCACACAACATGGAGGTGTGTGTGTGTGTGTGCGCGTGGGGGGGTAGGAGTCAGGACTCCTGGGTTTTATTCCCAGCTCTGGGAGGGAAGTGGAATCTAGTGGTGTGAAGGCTCCTTCCCCACTCTGAACTTTAGGGTACAAATGTGGGGGCCTGCATGAAAACTTCAAAGCTTAACTACCAGCTTAGACCTGGTCCGCTGCCACCACTCCCAATGGGCTAATTCCCTTCCCTGGGTAGCCTTGAGAGACTCTTCACTAATTCCCTGGTGGACACAGATCCAACCCCTTGGATCTTAAAACAAGGAAAAATCAATCAGGTTCTTAAAAAAGACTTTTAATTAAAGAAAAAGGTCAAAATCATCTCTGTAAAATCAGGATGAAAAATAACTTTACAGGGTAATCAAATTTAAAGAGCCCAGAGGAATCCCCTCTAGCCTTAGGTTCAAAGTTACAGCAAACAGAGGTAAACACCCTAGCAAAAGGTACATTTGCAAGTTGAGAAAACAAAGATAAAATTAACATGCCTTGCCTGGCTGTTTACTTACAAGTTTGAAATATGAGAGACTTGTTCAGTAAGATGTGGAGAGCCTGGATTGATGTCTGGTCCCTCTCAGTCCCAAGAGCGAACTCCCCTCAAAACAAAGAGCACAAACAAAAGCCTTCCCCCCACCAAGATTTGAAAGTATCTTGTCCCCTTATTGGTCCTTGGGGGTCAGGTGTCAGCCAGGTTACCTGAGCTTCTTAACCCTTTACAGGTAAAAGGATTTTGGAGTCTCTGGCCAGGAGGGATTTTATAGTATTGTACCCAGGAGGGCTGTTACCCTTCCCTTTATAGGTTTCAGAGTAGCAGCCGTGTTAGTCTGTATCCGCAAAAAGAACAGGAGTACTTGTGGCACCTTAGAGACTAACAAATTTATTAGAGCATAAGCTTTCGTGGACTACAGCCCACTTCTTCGGATGTGACAAGTGGGTTAGAGCAGGGGGGCTGAGAGCCAGGACTCCTGGGTTCCATCTGTGGCTCTGGGAGGGGAGCACTGGTAGCGCCGTTGCCCCTTGTGGCAGCAGCAGGGCTCTATTAGACTTCATTGAGCTCAGGCCAGTTCCCCAGCCTGGTTCAAGGGGCTCAGAGAGTTGGCAGCCATGGGCTTTAGTGAATGAAAACAACCAAGGGCAGGGGGAAAGCCTGGGCGGGGCCAGCTCTGTGCTGGTTGCTCCGGGCCTGAACTGTGGTCAGATAATGAGCCACAGGTGGCTGCAGCTCAGCACTGGGCGAGCTGTCCCCATGCGGCGTTACGTGCGGCTGTTCCCCAGCTGCTCCACTCCAGAGGTGGGGGCTGTTGTTCAGGGTCAGGGACTGGAAAGTAGAGGGTTAATATCATGGGGATTTCACTCCCACCCTCACTCCTGCAACAGAAGTGGACTCATCTGCACAAATTATCTCAGACCCATATCCTTGGGATTGTGTATACAGAGCACTGGGATGCAGTTGCTTCTGGGGTGGGGTAGATGGGGAACAGCCGCACATAACGCTGCACAGTGATGGCTTACCCAGATCTGCGATGCAGCCGCCTCTGGGGTGGGCAGCCAGGGAACAGCCACACATAACAGCAGACGAGGACGGCTCACCTGGCACTGGGATGCAGCTGCCTCAGGGTGGGGCAGCCGGGGAACAGCCGCACATAATGGCACATGAGGAAGGCTCGCCTGGGACTGGGATGCAGCCGCCTCTGGAGTGGAGCAGCCGCGGAACAGCCGCATATAACGGCACACGAAGATGGCTCGCCTGGCACTGGGATGCAGCTGCCTCGGGAGCGTGATCCCACAAATGCAACTGTTGTTTGTCAGCACCCTGAAGACACTTAGCGGCTGCCAAAAGAACAGCCGGGACTACCCCCGAACAGGTTACCCAGGGAACCGTGTCACTGGAGGGTTTTAAGACCAGGCTGGACACACCCTGTCAGGGCCACTCGGGGGGTCCCTCAGCTCTGACTTGGCGCTGGGCACCCTGAGGCCCCCTTGAGGTCCCCTCCAGCCCCTCGTCTAGGAAACTTCCATGCAGAACATGGCTCAAAGGGCGGAACCGCCCCGGGAGCTCGGGGGCCTGGCCTGCCATCAAACCACGTCGCCAGCAAGCTTGAGGCAGCGGCCGGATAGTTCCTCTCAGTAGCTCACCTGTGGCACCAGTTCGTCCCCAGCTGGCCTAGAGGTACCAGGGTCAAATCTGCCCCTGCCCCATCCTAGTGCCAGAGGCCACCGGCCCTCCCCCCCCCCCCCGCATGGGCCTCTCCCGCTTCCTCTCCCTCCCCTGGCTGGGCGCCAGGCCCAGCCACTTCCTGCCCGGGCAGAGAGTCCAAGCTGTGGCTCGCAGGAGCAGCCGGGTGTGCTAGGAGCCCAGGGCAAGTACAGCTGATCATAGCTGGGGCGCAGGGCGTGGGGGGCAGGGGGACGCTCTCTGAGGTGCATCAGCCACACAGGGGCTGGGGGGCTGCGAGCTTGGGGCTGGGGCAGACGGAGGCTGGGAGGGTCACCATGTCTGATGCCCTCCTGCCACAGGCCTGGGAGAGATCCGCTAGCAAGGAGGGTGGGGGGGCAGAGATGGGAGGGGAAAGGTTTCCTGTGAAAAACTGGCTCTGTGCATACCCCTTCCCCTCGCTCTAACCATAAACCCCCACTTCCCTCTCAGAGACAGGGAGAGAACCCAGGAGTCCTGGCTCCCAGTGCCCCTGCTCTAACCCACTAGACCCCACTCCCCTCCCAGAGAGAGAACCCAGGAGTCCTGGCTCCCAGCATCCTTCTCCTCTAACCACTAGACCCCACTCCCCTCCCAGAACCAGGGAGAGAACCCAGGAGTCCTGCTCCCAGTAGCTCCCCCGCTCTAACCACCAGACTCTCTCCTCCCAAAGCCAGGGATAGGGCCTGTATTGCAATCTATGGGTTGAGTGCCCCCTAGTGGCCAAAACCTCCCTTTGCTGCTGATCCCCGCCCCCCCGCTATGCTGGGCTACCGTCTTGCATCTGAAGTCAATCTGAATGGCGCATTGGGTTTGATCTCCCTTGGGACCGGATCAGGGTGGGGTGGGCAGCTGTTACTCTGATCTAGGGTGACCAGACAACAAGTGAGAAAAATCAGGACGGGGGTGAGGGGTAATAGGATCCTATATAAGAAAAAGACCCCAAAATCGGGACTGTCCCTATAAAACTGGAACATCTGGTCACCCTACCCTGACCTAATGTCTATGGAGGGCCTGGGGAACTACCTGCTCCTGGATTTCAGAGAGGCTAAAAGATGGCTAAGATTTATTTATTTTTAAATAAAAGGACGTTTTTATTTAATAAAAGGAGGGGACGAGACGCGGACGGGTTTAAACCGACTCGGTAGGAATCTGTCCCCGCTCCTGAAGAAATAGGAAGCCACCCTGGAGCTGAGCCACCATTCAACTCGACCCCAAGCTTTTCCCCCTGTGGGTTTCCGATTCGGCCATTTCCGGAGGGGTTTCGCTCAGCCGCTTTTGGGGTGGGGACGGGGGGTGAGTGTCAAAGGTCACCTTCAAAATCGAAAGACTTCCACGTGAAAAAATCTCATTCAGTCTTTTTTCTCCCCCCCCTCCGGAACTCTTTCCGGGCTCTGCAAATCCATTTTTTGATGGGGAGAAAACAGCAGACGAAATGTGGCCCATCACAACCTCTGAGGCCTTCATAGTGGGGGGGGCCTGGCTTTAAATCAAGGCGATTTAAATCACCCACTCTAACACTTCCGTTTCAATCACCGACTTTAACCCACTTCTCCATCTGTACGTCGGACAGAACCATTCAAACCCGGTGATTTACAACTCCCGGGTGCCTTTACCCTAGATTTTGTGCGTCTTTTTGCTTCCTAGCAGGGTCCGCTGTACGTTTATTTAAGCAACTAAGTAGCTTAATATTGTCAGGTTCTTATTCATTGTACTTTTTTAGTATGGGAGAAACCGGTGACTCACAGCTTGCTGGGTTCCTACCGTCGTGCCATATTTATAAAGCTTGCCTCAAAAGTTACGTTCCCCCCCCGGATTCTTGCTTTGTCTAGAAAAACAGCCTTTAACGCAGCGTTTTCCACACAGGCTCCTGGATTCAGCGTATTTGTAGGGTTGAAGAGATGCTAATAAGTTTAGGCCTTAGTGGAGTTTGTATTAAATTCAGATTTCCTTCGGAACAGATTTAGTTTTAAAAAGGGAAACGTAATCATTTAAATAGCAGAATTTTAAAAATTCGGATTTACATTTTTAAAATACATTTTTAATTTTTGTTTTCAAATAAAGACCAAAAAGCATTGGTTTTTATCCATCCTGGTTCTGCTCCTGCGAAGGAGAACCAGCGACCCACCAGCAAAGTCTCATGTATTCAGAACAAAAGATGGTGTCTGAACCTCTCCTGCTCCCGTCTGATCCCAAATTACCCGGCTACTGGAGACATCTGATCAGCTAATGCCTCTCCGAGCACGTATTCACCCTCACCCCCCCCTCACCAGCCGGGCTCTCTGATCCCCTGTAAATCGGGGATTAGCCCTTAGCTGCAATGGGCATGAACCTAGAGTGGGATCAGGGGGTAAGATAAAGAGTCACCTGCTTGTTAATAGTAGGGGGAGGAGAAAATATGTTGATGGTCAGTGGAACTACCTGCCACTTGGTTTTGCTGAGAAGGTAACAGGGAGGCAAGACACTGGGGGCCTTGGGGGTGGAGGTTCTTGACTAGAAGGCAGGTGTTTCTGAGGACCAGGCTAGTGGCCAGGGGAGGATCCCTGGGTGGGAGGATGAGTCTCACCAGGCACGGGTGGGGATGCAGGACTAGGGACCTTGGAAATGGATCAGAAACCTCCTCTGGGAAACAGCTGCCTCCACAGAGCAGATGGGGGGACTTGGCTGATTGGAATGCAGGGGTGTTTGGGACTCATGGCAGGCAGCGAAGAGAATGTGTCTGCGTCCATCCACTCACCCCTCCACCTACCCCTTCAC